GGTGACAGAGTGCCCGCACATTGGAGTAGTAACTCATCAGCGCATGCTGACATAACTTACAGAACCCCTCAGCCCCTCAAGACGAACATTGACGGGAACATCTGGGGGCGGCATGGAACCACCGAGGCTTAGGATGTTCGACCAAAGCTGCTTGAGACCTAGTAATGCCAGGAGAGGCTAGTAGCGTCCTTGCTCCTAGTAGCGATGCCAGGAGCCCCTAGTAGCGTCCTTGCTCCTAGTAGCGATGCCAGGAACCCCTAGTAGGGTCCTTGCTCCTAGTAGCGATGCCAGGAGCCCCTAGTAGGGTCCTTGCTCCTAGTAGCGATGCCCTTAGCTGCTTGGCACAGCTTTTGCTTCAGGATATTTTAACATAGTCCTGGCATTTCTTGGGAATGTCTGCCAGAACTGGCTGCGGAGCAGATCCAACGTAGCGTCATTCCATGACCCATATGTTTGTTTGTGATTTCAGGTTTATGATATTAACTGTATGATGTGTTTTTACTTACAGTAACAATAAACTCTAAATATTTGTTCATGATTCCCCGACATTCTAGGGCACTACAAGAACAAGAAACAATTCTACAAGCCAGGGAGTGTGGGACTCTGAGCATCTCTGACCGCCTTCCCCTCTTCGGAGAAGAGGGAGATTGGAAGGAAGCCCGGAACTCACTGTTGTGAGCTTCATTGGCACAGCTAGGCGCAGAAGCCGGCCAACTTTGTAGGCTTGGGTATTGTACACACAAGTTGACATCGCAAGGTTTGTTGGCATCTTTGCTCTGCTTCGGGGCATCACTACGTGCCTGTTTTCATAGGGATTTGTTGGCAACTCCTCCTCTCCAAAACTCAATGTGGTGACAATGCATACGGGCACCTCTTGCTTCCGGTTGGCCTTTGGGCAATCATAGGGAATCCAATTGATCCTTTTACTTTTGCTTCTTTTATACAATAGGATTGGGGCTGTTTCACTGAAGTTCATGGATAGATCAGCCGAAACCTCCAACATCCGACATATCAATGAACCACTGTCATGATCAATGGTGCTTATGATTGTGTGAGCTTGTGTGCTAAATATATGGCTGGCTGAGCCGCTCCCACCAATTGATGGTTGAGATGCGACGTGAAAAGACTCACTGCGAGGTCAGCTCCCCGTTCATGCGACGCAGGGCTCGAGAGTTGGCTCTAGAGAATCGATGAAAACTCATGAGAACTGATGCCAACTTGGTTGTTATGATCTCGTACGTGTCAAGTGACGAAGACAGTCTCCCTTTTTCGAGGCATGATGAAGTTCATGGGGATGGTAAGGGCACCTTCTTTGCATGCCTATGTTTTGCCTTGTGAACTATTGGTAGGTGATAGCCTCCAGCACTGCACCCGGTTTCATCAGCCCTAGTTGCTGCTGATCAGGGAATGTCTTTGGGTCAGCCGCGTGCTTCAACCTTCCTGAGCGGAAGATCACAAGGCCAAAGTGAACTGTCAGGGGACGCCTGTGTTAAAATGAGACGTTGCAACATCCCTGCCTGATTTGGGACGTTGAGGAAACATGCAGGCTGCAGGCTGGCTTTGGCCAAGTCCAGTTTGACACTTTCGTTCCATATCATGTCAAGGGTGCAGGATTCTCAGCAAGGGTTACTCTTGTCAAGACTCGCAAGACTGGATCATAAAGACTGGATCGAACCTCCTGGAAAGGCCCTAGCTAGTGCTACAAGAGCTTTTGTTTGCATGGTGGACCGGCGGTGCCAGCGGCAGTGCACGGTGAGGCAAGGCCAGTGCTTGCGAGCGGCTTTTGGAGGTGGAAAGCAGTGGAAACATGCAGTGGAAAGCAGCTTTTGTAGCTGCTTTTTGTCACTAGTAGCGATGCACGGGCTTCTTGCTACTAGTAGTACTACCCTTAGCTACTAGTAGCTTTTTGTTACTTTGACCATCTTTGATCAGCTTTTGAACTAGCCTGGAGAGCACGAGCACAAACATGAAGGAAACTGGTCGTTGATATGTCGGACATTCCATGCCACGGATTTGCATGAGTCAGTCTATTTGGGGATTGATTTTCAATGGCGGTGCGTGTTTGCTTTGCTGGAGGTATGTGACCGGGGTTGGTCATAGACCGTGAGGATGGCAATCCCAGAAAAGTTGTTATTGGTCACATCAAGCTTATAAGCTACTAGAACGCTACTAGGAGCAAAGGGCACCTAGTAGCAAGGACGCTACTAGGAGCTTTCCCACGGATTGCAGGTTGACAGATTGGCCTGTTGCTACTGCTGGTGAGATCAGGGGACCACTCACGCTGCGGTGCTCAGGCCAAAGATGCTGAGGTTCTGCGCTTGAGGCGCGCAAACTTCCTTGTTTTGGTTGAAGCACCGCTCGACATTCAGCCTGGGACTGCGAAAAGCTTTTGTGGAGCAAATTTGGGTCTTACAACCGAGGGACTCTAGTTATCTCCGCGGTTGTGCACTCCTTCTAAAATGCAATTGACTTAGGCGATCGATCGCCATCACCCGATGCAACATCCATCGGTCCTATAAATAACGAGACAGTTGCCTGGGAACATGTTTATTTGGCAATTTGCATCTATGCCGCGAGCAGCTTTGCATGATTTTTTGGGAGCATGTGAGAGCTATACATCATGGATCATGTACAGTACATCGTCGTGAAACTATCATGACGTACACTGAAGATGTCACGCGTCACATAGATGTGGTGGATGTGGGCAATGCATGAGGTGGGCAATGGATGTGTTTTTCAACGCCTCAGGTCTGAGCTTGAGGCTTGGCGGTCCAAGGTTCGGCCTGTCGCTGGATTGTCAGCTATACCCGAAACTCTGATGTTTGTTTGTTTCAGGGACCTCAAATGCAAAGGGGCTATACCAAGGGACATTGGAAGATTGGGGCCCAAGATAGCAAACTTCAAGCTTGTGACAGATCAGCCGCGAGGCATGTTTGCTTTCTATGGTTCTTAATTGCTTGAGAACCGCTGTTTTTGTGCTTCATAGTGTATGCTGTTTTATATAGCATGTCTTAACTTTAAGCAGTTCACTTGTTTTGTTTCAAAAGATACATGTTATTTTGCATGTGTTCGACCACATGTTTCACTTCATTAAACCATTCTCAAACCAAGGAGCACCCTTCCATATTAATTATATATATAAAGAGGACATTGTGCAGAAATACTTGATAAGACCCCACAGAGATTCATGTTGTTCTTATATGTTCTTATATATATATATATTCATAAAGGCATTCCTTTCAAGAAGCGCAGAGCCAAGAATGCGGACATGTTGGAACACAAAAATGTGATGCAACATCATTTGGACACTTGCAGCAAAGATTCACAACACATACACACAAGCAAAAAGGTGTTTCTTTTCAACAAGAGGAACTGGGTACATATGCACATACATATACATACACATATATATATATATACACATTAGTATATACATATATACATATATACATATTACTATATTGTATTTATTTGTTTCTTTCTTGGTATGCTTGGTCGGTGCTCGTCAGGGCATTTGAGATCCGACGTTGCCTCATTTTGTGAAGCCCAAGATTTTGGTGAGTGTGGGACAGTGGGGGGATACTGCACCCAATCATGTGGAACACATCAGAAACTTGAAGACTTTGGGTTTAATTACCACTATTGTATACTTTGATGATTGTGTTTGGTATGCTTTACCGTAGCGAGATTGAATGGTTGTTGATGAAGCGCAACACTGTCAAAAAACAAGAGCGTACTCAAACCATATAAAGTCGATTTTGTGTTCGAACAAAAACTTGCTTTTATCTCCTACTTATGTCCCACAAGCATTGCAGATCAAATGTCCAAATAACAAGGCATGTGACATCTATTGATATCAGTACATGTATGGTGTATCGTTATATATATATGGAGAGTACTGAGAGTACAGAACATATACTAAAACATAGTAAATTACAACTCAAGGCGCTTGTGACTTGCATTGTGCTTGACTCTCACAGGAGTGTTCGGGCGGGCGTTCACAGGCAGCGAAGCCAAGTGGAAGCAGCCGGAGGCATTGACCAGTAGAGCGTTTGATGTTTGTTTTAGGTAGCTGATTTGAGAGGATGGGTTCAGATCACACTGCATTTCAATACCTCAAGGCTGCATGTGGATCTTTCGGCCTGTCAGCGGCACCAAGAGTATTCGGCGAAGGCGGCGCTCTTCGGTTGGTTTGGTGGTACAGGACTGTCCTTCGCTAGGATTGCATGCTCTGCTTTGGCCTCACATTGTCCAGACTCAATGTAAAGAATCTTCAACCAGGTCAGAAGAGCAAAAATCAGTTGCAATCAGAAGCGGCAACCTGCAAGGTCATAGCAACAAGCCCAATTTTCCCAGGTCAAGACATGTGATGACTATCCATGGCCCCTGTTTAGATGAGTCTTCAGTGATGGTCTCGCAAGTGTTCGGTGTTTTATTTGGGGCGCAGTTGAAGACAATCCACCCAATTGTCAGTCCACAGTTCTTGTCGGCCAGATTGCTTGTGGGTGCTCCCATGCTTCCCTTCATTGGCCTGCATGATCATTGTGGAACTGTTGCATGTCCCTCAGCCATGTGCAGCGGAGCGAATTCAACATGTTCCCACACAGATGTATCCTGCCTTCCTCTCATGGGACCAGAACCGTATCTTATCATGATTCATGACATCAACTTCCAACTAATCAACACACAAGCTCACGAGAAGCACAGACCTGGTACATTCTGTGGCCATCGCTTACCTGAACCCACAGGTTTCAGTGTTTTTAGTTTTATGAGGTCCCCGTGAGATTACAGTAAATTAGCTGAGCGCAAAGAGTGGCTGTTCAGACCTCACAAGACTAACACAAAAGATCACAAAAGACAGGGATCCGACAATTCCAGGGTTTGGGACTTCATGGCTACCTTTGCAAGGTTTGGGGGGGACCTATCTATAAAGAAACTTTCCCAGATCCCTTGTGGCCAAAATAGAGGAATTCATGAGAAGTTCAGGCATGGTGAGGCTTGCGACGTAGAAATGCATTCCTTTGGGCGCCCCAACGTGGAATTGGCCCAGTTCGCTCATGCCGCATTATGCCCTTTGGTGACAGAGCGGTAGGTCACACCGATGTTGAGGCCACGGCCGCGAATCGGGAAAGTATAGCAGCTAGCAGCTGTTTCCTGTGTTTCCCTAAATCACCTGCGAAGGGTTCTCCGAAAAGAACGGCTACCGACTTCGGCTGTCGAACACCACCAACACCAACACCGTCAGCAGAATCACATCAGCATAACAAAAATAACAATCATCATCATCATCATCATCATCATCATCATCATCATCATCATCATCATCATCATCATCATCATCA